CCTGTAGTAAGTTTTGAAATCTGGTATTGTGATGCCTTTGACTTTGTTTCTGTTGCATAAGGTTACTTTAGCTATTTGGGGTCTGCTATGTTTTCTATATCTGAGAATGTCCTTGGTATTTTGATTGGTATCACATTGATTCTATAAATTGCTTTTGGAGGTATGGACATTTTGATGGTATTGATTCTTCGAATCCATGAACATGGAAGATTTTTTCATTTTTTATATCTTCTATTTCTTTCTTTAATGTTTTGTGATTCTCATCATAGAAAACTCTGACATTCTTGGTTAAATTTATTCCAAGGTATTTGATTGTTTTTGTAGCTATTGTGAATGGGATTGATTTTAGAAGTTCTTTTTTAGCCATGGCATTGTCTGTGTATACAAAAGCTGTTGGTTTTTGTGTGTTGATTTTGTATCCTGCTACTTTACTAAACTCTTATGAGTTCCACTAGTCTCTTGGTAGAGTCTTTTGGATCCCCTATGTATAGAACCATGTCATCTGCAATAGGGATAGTTTGCCTTCTTACTTCCCAATTTGTATCCTTTTGATTTCTTTTTTTGCCTAATGGCTCTGGCTAAAACTTCCAGGACTATACTGAATAGTAATGGTGAGAGTGGGTATCCCTGTCTGGTATTGGATTTCAGTGGTATTGCTTCCAGTTTTTTTTACAGTCAGAGTGGACAGTGAGAAAGAGAGAGAAAGGTCTTCCTTTGCTGTTGGTTCACCCTCCAATGGCCGCTGCTGCCTGCGTGCTGCGGCCGGCACACCGCGCTGATCCGAAGGCAGGAGCCAGGTGCTTCTCCTGGTCTCCCATGGGGTGCAGGGCCCAAACACTTGGGCCATCCTCCACTGCACTCCCTGGCCACAGCAGTGAGCTGGCCTGGAAGAGGGGCAACCAGGACAGAATCCGGCGCCCCGACCGGGACTAGAACCCGGTGTGCCAGCGCCACTAGGCGGAGGATTAGCCTATTGAGCCGCGGCACCGGCCCAGTTGCTTCCAATTTTTCCCCATTCAATATGATGCTGGCCATGAGTTTGTCATAAATTGCCTTGATTGTATTGAGGAATTACTCACAAAATGATTGGGAGCATATTGAATTTTTGTTGCTTATACAAAGTGATTTTTATTTTTTAATCTTTTTAAGATTTATTTATTTATTTGAAAGAGTTAGAGAGAGAGGTAGAGACAGAGAGAGAGGTCTTCCATCCGCTGGTTCACTCTCCAAATGGCCTCAACGGCCGGAGCTGCGCTGATCCAAAGCCAGGAGCCAGGAGCTTCTTCCAGGTTTCCCACACGGTTGCAGAGACCCAAGGACTTGGGCCATCTTCTACTGCTTTCAAAGGCCATTGCAGAGAGCTGGATTGGAAGTGGAGCAGCCAGGTCTTGAATCATTGGTTCCCGTATGGGATGCCTGCACTGCAGGTGGCGGCTTTTCCCGCTACACCACTGCACCGGCCCTGATTCTTTAATCTTTATAATACTGTATAGGAAAGGCAGCTGGAATTATCCCATTTTACAAATGAGGTGCCATGAAATAAGTAGAGCTATTTCCTGTTTTTAACTTCAAAGCAGTCAGTTGGCTGAAGTTTTATAACTTTAGTTTTCACATTGTTCCATCCATTCCTCAGGCTTACTTTGTTGAAGGTGAATTTGTCTGCTGTATTTCATCTTTTACTACAATCTCTTAGGATAGTGGTAACACATAAAATACTTGGTAATAATTAAATGAACCAATAGAAAATACTGAATTACTGAATTCTCCTGCATTAAGAAACCAAAAAATATTTTAGTCAGATAATCTTCATTCCTAGATGTACTCATATTTTGCATTTATTACATGTTAGGTAAAATGTAAATGTTTATACAGCTCACTTAAGGGTAAGATTTTCACCATAAAAAGAAGGAAGTTTATAAACTACAGGTCTGTCAGAGTGATCATTTTGTAATTTCTTTTGTTTAATTATTTTTTAAGAGCTCACTGGGTTGTTTCAGATGAATTAAGAAAAGTTTTAAAGCATTTTTCTTTAATCCCTGAAAGAGAAGTCTCAAGGTATTTTTACTGTAATCTGACACATTATATATTATCTCTGTAAAACTTACATTTTACAACATGGTTTATCCAAGTTTAAAATACTGTACAATGAATCAGAGCAGAAATGTGTAAGGTCTCAGAGAGCATTCATGGCATTACAAAAGTTGAAATTAACCTTAGAGAAAATAAAAATACCTGTGAGGTATTGATGACAGTCCTTTAAATCTAAATTTTCTATTTAGGCAACAGTAAATACAGAACAGTAGCAATTTAAGTCATTTGGTTAGAAGAAGGAAGATTGGACTACAAAAGCCATATAGCACAATAATTAAATGTATGACTTTGAGAGTAAAATAGGTCTGTGTGTATAACCTCTCCCACTTAAAAAGATCTTAGGCAATGTGGGGAGCAACTCGGACTAGACTGTTACTGGAATTAAGATTTATTCTATGCATCTGCTCTCCCACAATATGGTGCTGAGAAGGGAGTAACAACTTCTACGCAGCTGCCTCTCGCCAACTTGAGTGATGACCTGCAGGAGCTCATCCTGCTCCTGATTGGAGGAGAGCAGTGTACTCGGCGTGTGGGTAGCAGAGTTGGGATTGGTGGAAGAGGACTATAAAGGAGGAGAGAGACAACATGCACCAGGAACATCTATCTGAAGGAACACCTGAGCAGCCCCCGAGAGAGCCGGCCGGCGGTGTGCCGCTCCCCCACGGAAGTGGGGAAAGTGGCCAGGGGGAACCGCCCATCCACGGAGGTGGAAGGGATGGTAGCCAACCCGGGAAGAACCAGCAGCAAACCCGGGGAGGGCCGAGCAGACAAAAGAACAGCGCAGGGTCCTGTGTCGCTCCTCCACGAAGAGGGGGAGCGACAAGGCAACTTTTAACCTTTTTGAATTAATTTTCCTCATCTTTAAAGTGAAAATACTTTTACCTACCTTTACATGTACTGACTGTTTAACAGTCAGTTTCTTCCTCTGCCCTCCTCCTCCTTTATTCTATGACTATTCTTTTATATATATATATTCTAGTTTTTATTTGTTTTAATTGTTTAGAGATTTATTTATGTATTTAAAAGGCAGAATTACAGAGAGGCAGAGGCAGAGAGAGAGAGAGAGAGAGGATGGGAGAAGGGTCTTCCATCCCCTGGTTCACTCCCCCAAATGGCCACAACTGTCAAAGCTAGGCCGATCTGAAGCCAGGAGATGGTTCTGGGTCTCCCATATGGGTGCAGGGGCGTAAGGACTTGGACCATCTTCCACTGCTTTCCCAGGCACATTAGCAGAGAGCTAGATCAAAAGTAGAACAGCTAGGACTTGAACTGGCAACCGTATGGGATGTTTGCACTGCAGACAATGGTTTTACCCCCTTTGCCACAATGCTTACCCCCTATTTCTTTTCATTTTCTCTCTACAGTATTTTAATCAATCTGTGTACATTTATGTTTCAAGCAAGTTTGGAGTGTGTTGCTTTTTACATATTTTGTAGAAATGAAATTACTGGCTTATGTGATTATATACTTGTCTGTTAACCACTTCTAGGTTATAAACTCTTCGTGTTTTCATAAATTTATCTTTGTTTTACCAGTAGCACCAGGTTGTTACTTAAATGTAATATGGTTAATTTGTTACTTGGCAATAGGATTAATCTAGAACTTTATCGTCAGAACCAGTATCACAGTTTTTATTTTATTTGTAGCATATTTAGTTCTTGCTTTTCAGCTGTAGAAAATCAGGGGACAATAAACTTATTCTGAAAACAACCAGGAAGTAAATATTTTGAGCTTTGCTAACCAGTCTCTGTCATAATTAGTCATCTCTGTTGCTAGAATTCAGAAGTTGCCACAAACAGTATGTTAGCCAATGGGATATGGCTTTGTTTCAATAAAGCTTTCTTTATAGCAACAGGAGACTGACTAAATTTTGCCTGTTGGCTGTAGTTTGCCAATCCTTGTTATAGACAAAATCAGAGTAGGCTAATAGGAAGCTGAATATCAAAATGCTCGTGGATGGTGAGGGAAAATAGAGAAAAAATAGCCAAGAAATGAAATGAGACACTTGACTGTTTTTATTTAGTTTGTAATGGCTAATGCTTATTAAAATATTTACAGTATTCCTGAGAGGCCACATTAAGACTCAGTTTCTCTAGCTAAAGCACTATAATCCCTAAAACACAGCAGTCTATCAAAGTGGAATTTTAAGGCAATTTTAAATTTTCAACTAAAGTAGATGCTGTAAGGTTGGATGTCTACAGAACAAATTTTAATCAGTTTTACCAGATGAGAATCACAACATCCTTTGAAATCATCATTATGAACAACATTTTATGTATAGGAAATTAAATTTTTTAAAGATTTATTTATTTATATGAAAGAGTTATAGCAGGAGATGAGAGAGACAGAGAAAGAGATCTTAACATCCCCTTCTTAACTCCCCAGGTAGCTGCAATGGCAAGGGCTGAAGTCAGGCAGAAGCCTGAAGCAAGGAGCTTCATCTGGGTCTTGTACTTAGGTGGCAGGGGCCCAAGTACTTGGACCTCTTCTGCTGCTTTTCTCAGGCCATTAGCAGAGAGCTGGGTCAACAGCCAAAACACAAACCACACCCTTTTGGGATGCTGGCATTGTGGGCAGGGGCTTTCCTGCTGTGCCACAACACCTGCCCTAGAAAGTTAAATTTTAAAGTACTAAGTAACCTATCTAAGATCACAGAGTTAATATGTGAAATTGCTGGACTTCAAGTGTCACTCCAGCATATGATAAGTGGGGAATGAATAAATATTCCAAATCCTGATTTCTTGATCCTAGATTATTTTGAAAATGGTAGCAACTATTGAATAATAGCAGAAAAAGTACTTGTACTATTCATGCTTTGTATATTCTCTACTAGCTTTAACTTTAGTTTGTATATAACTAATTTTTTTAAACAAGACAGTGTTTTATTGTTATATTTTTTTATTTTTTAGGAGCCACCAGAAATGGAACTATTAAAATTTTTCAGACCAGAAAACACTACGGTTTCCTCAAGGCCATCAGTAGAGCAGCTTTCTAATCTCATTAAAATGAGTCTTCACTACCCAGAATCATTTAACCATCCATTTCATCAAAAAAGGTTTGAGATTTAATTTTTTTAAAAATTTTCTTCAGTATAAAAACATATACACATAACACATCTTTAGTTATTTAGGCAGTGGCATTAGCCAAATATTTAAGAAGTTTGTTTTGTTTAGTTTGAGAGACAGAGAGCAAGCACTCCTATCTAATGGTTTACTCCTCAAATGCCTGCAATGGCTAGGACTGGCCTAGGCAAAAGCCAGGAGACAGGAATTCAGTCTGCATCTCCTACATGGGTGGCAAGGACACAGTTACATGAGTTGTTGCTGCTGCTTGCATTAGCAGGAAGCTGGAGTCAGGAGCTGGGGCTGAAATTCAAACCGAAGCACTCTGATGTGGAACATGGGCATCTTAGCAGGCATCTTGCTGTTCTTGAGAAATTTAGAATAATATTGAATTTGTAGAAATACTTTTGAGTAATTTTACTGTTTATTGTATGTACTGTGTTATTATAAGTACTGTAGTTAAAGTTGTATAGTATGGGATAGGCATTGTGGTGAAGCGGGTTAAGCTAGTGCTTGTGACACCAGCATCCCACATTAGAGTTTCAGTTCTAGTTTTTTGTTTTTTTTTTTCTTGAGATTTTAAAAGCATTTATTAGAGTCAAAGACCTCCAGCCGGAGCAGCAAAGAGTAGGGGCTTCCAAGAGAGGAAAGAACCCCAAAAAGTCCCATAGCATTCAGGTTTTTAACTGTAATCTTGCAAACCAAACTGTCAGTCAACAAATTGGAGATAAACTCAACAGAACACCTGATTTACAATTCTCCATCTTGTCTGGCCTGCTAAGGGTGGGGAGGTAACTTGTTTTCACCATAAGCTGTGAGCTCAGGAAGCGCTCCCTTGCTATTTTCATGGTAACTTTGGAGACTCCAGAGGAAGGAGGGCAGCCCGTTTGTTCTTGCTAAAGATGAAGTCTTGGGAAAGGAAGCAAATATTTTACACCCCAAATTTCATTGGGATCCCCTGACTACTGTTAACCCATCTGACTCCTCACATTCCCACCTCCCAAGGATTGAAACTAACTTCTGTTAGGGGGAAGTGGGCAGTGATGGCTCTGGCTGCTTCATGCTGAAAAGGGGTGTTGTTGGGAAGGGGAGTCAAGACAGGGTTCCAGCAGGAGGTAGCTTCTCAGCAGGAGGTGGCTTCTCCAGGGGAATGCAGTTAAACTCACATTATCTAAAACTGAGGACAGTGTCCTTGTAGGCCCCAAGAAGGGTATCTCAACCTTGAGCAAGTTTTTTTTTTTTTTTTCATTGAGAGGCAAATAGAAACTGACAAAGGCTTGAAAATAATCAGGTGGGCCTCAAGGGCTTGCCAGTTATGAGGCTCAGACCCATCTATCTGTTTACATGGGGTACATCATAAGGGAGATACCCTGTTGACTTTCACAACCTAGCTGGCCTGGGAGGAGAGCTGGCTTGAAGAGAAGGTAGGTGGCATTTCTAAAAGGAAAACATTTTTAGTTTAATGTACAGTTCTGCCTGCAATGTTGTTGCCGCCGCTTGGCCTCCCCTTAACAGCAGTGGTTACTTTGGAAGCTGGGACGAGTGAAGGGCTTTTCAGCTTAGAGTGAACAAGGTCTGTGGCTCTGACCTGGAGCCCTTCGACTCCAGGGCAGGTCCATTTCCACTGAGTGGCTGGCATAGCTGCCAAGGCTCTTCATAAGCGGGCATCTGCTGAAGCCCTGCTTTCCACATTGAAAACCAATGCAGTGGATTGGCCTGTTGGGTTTCTTCAATGGCAGATCACTGTGTAAAGCAGCCATTAATTGGCTTGCCCCCTATCTCTGCATTGCTTCTGTTGCCTGGCTTCCTCTTCCTCCTGGGTTTTGTTAAAGCAGACCAGAGGAAACCTTTAAGAGAATGCAAGGCAAGGGGGTGCTCAGACCCTAATCTTTGGTGGCCTAAACTAGAAATCTGTAGTTACAGGCTTGTTATAATAGTGGTTTTTCTTTGAGGTAGGTGATGCCCATGAGAAAAGCTATGTCAAAATGATAACCACCTTATTTATTAAATTTTAAGTCATTAGGAAAACTCCCTCCCTTTGAAATCAGACATGACCCCCTAAAATTTATACAAAATGTGGCCCCTTAAAGTTCCCCAGAATTGCTACCTGGGATGCCACAAGTGCTATCGGAATTTGGGGTGCCATACGATTTCACTGTATGCTTACTAATAAATCCCAATATTAGTAAGCCCAAGAGGGTTCTTACCTAATATTTAGAGAAGAATTCTAAATACCGGCACAGATAAACGGGCAGCATGGTACGTTTTAAGCTTTTATTTAGTAAGAAAGATGCATAGGAGAGTGAAAGCTTTATTAAGGGAGAGAGGTAAATCTGGGTCCATACCGAGCACCAGGAACCAGCCACGTGGATGAGCATCTAGGCCTGTATCTGGGTCAGGAAGCCTAGAGCACATGGCCCAAAGGCCATGCACCCTGGAGGCTCAGGGTTACAGCAGGCCCCATCCTAACAAGAAGCCAGGGAAGAAGAGCAGCCCAGACACACTGTGTCCCAGGCTTTTAACCTACTTCCAAAGGGGAGTGGTTAATTAACCTGATTGGCTGGTGGTCACCCAGGTCTAGCCAGGTAGGGGGATGGGGTCACACAGGGGCATGGCGAAGGCATGGTCTTCCAGCTCACAAATCTAATCAATTTTAGTCTGTATGCCTTCCTACCTCACCTTTATTTGGTTTAAAAAGGGAGGTTTTACCTGTTTACTGTACCCATGGCAAAGTAAATCTAGCTGTGGAATCATAATTTAAGCTCTCATTTTTGCTAAGCTATTATAAAGTGTTAGCCATCCCTTTTAAGGTCTAAAGATCAAATTGTACATCCTAGAGAGTCCTTCAAAATAGAATTAGTTTCCTATCTTGAAGAGAATAGAGAAGTGAGGGAACAAGTCAGGCTTCCCAGATCACTTACTGACAATAACAATATCAAATGAAGACTTAGCAAACAATTTAAACTGTTAAATAACAACTTATGAAAACATTTACTAGAAGGTCCAATGCCTTCTATAAATTTCAAGGCAAGAGTGCACGTATTTGGAAACATTGCTTAAATATCTAGCACAAGCATAACTTGTTTGACCTGCAAACCCAAGCACAAACATGTCAGCAAATTTAAAACATCTGTTACAGAGATTTAGGTCATGTGAATCAAAAAGGTCTCTTAGATTAACTTAGCAGTTTGAGCAGTATTTTATAACAAAGCTTTTAATAAATTTTCCCATGTAGACATACAATATGTGCACATGTGTAGCATAACATACAAGATAGAACAATAAAGCAGCTTCAATAAGTTTCCTAAAATCTTTAGTGGTTTTTTAATTCCCCTAACCAATTAGAATTACTTACTACTCTTCGTAATCTGAATTAACCATACTTTTTCTAAATTGCAACCTGTAGTACATTATTGGCTTTATCTGCTTACAGAACTGTCCTCGAGTATTGAACACAATAGAGGTCAGGGAAAAAGAGGTCCTTTCAAACCTAGAAGGACATATTTAAACACAGAACCAACAATGTCTTAACTTCATGAGCAGTAAATTTGACTTTTAGGATTTGTAAAATATAAAACTCTGGATGACAAAGGCTTTAAATAGCCAGGTTTAAAATTATAAACTCATTAACCAACAAAAGGCACTTGCTTATTCCACACAAGATTTTTGAAAGCACCTGTAGGATTTTATAAAACATATAACTCTTTTAGGCCTCTGGGCCTTTTTCATTAAGATAATCATTATGTCTGATAACACAAGATGATTAGACTTTTAAACTTTTGGACATTTGTATCAGTAGCATTTTACATTATCATAACAAAATTTAGCACTGCTTCACATCTTAACAGTACCTTTAATATAATCCAAATAGCCATATTAGTTGCTATGTTAGAGATATATCCTTTGATATTTCCAGGGGCCCAACACTGGAAATATCAAAGTCTGAGAATTTGGAACTTGGATTTTTTTTTTTTTTAAATGCCTGTCAAGGATGCCAGGAAGGCTTAAAATATCTGGTTGAAATAGGATCCCTTGACGTCATGACTTAATATAGACCAGACTTGATCATTGATACAAAATGATTACTCAAATGCTTTAAAATAAGCATATATTTAAACAACTCATAGCTCCTGATAAAAACTCAGCAGTTTTTAAACAATTAGAACTTAACAGAGACATTAAGAGAACACAATAGATTACTTAAACAGAATGCAAAATCCATCTTTGGTAATCCCGAGAGTTATAAATAAGAACAAATTAGTTAGCACATGGAACTATCCCATAACCTGGAACAATTTTAACAGAGTCAGAACTAGAGAAGAGAAAATAGCCTACTGGAGCTGGCTAGAAAACTGAACAGTCACCTATTAAGCAAAACTTTCAAAAGGAAGTGCTGTAGTTTTTAAACAGATTTTTAACACTATTTCAGAATATTTGCTAACATATATGCATTGCAGAAACCTCATTGCTTTAACAGAGGATCAGATTTTATTTCTATGTTAAATGGACTAATAGCTTTTGCTTTCAGTCTGCTGATTTATATTTTGAAATAACTCTTTAGAAGTAAATTACAACTTATGAAAATATGTTAACAAACCCAAATAGTTTTTCATAGACTATAAGGTGCTAAGAGTACCAGAGTTTACATTTAGACACATTTATCTCATTTGCTTTACCCAGTTTACATTTAGCAATTACACCTAGATAACTGAAGATGCTGAGATTATACCTCTATCTGAATTAAGATCAAACTTACATTTATATCAAATTCTACTCCTTTTTATACAACTCTAGATATAAAGCAGTGACATTGAACCAGAGATTTTAAAATTCACCTTGGAGGGGGGGGGGCTATAACAAGAATTGATTACTCATTGCTATCAGAAACCTGTTAAACCAAGTTATAAAACAAGTTTGGCAAGTTAACAAAGCGGTATTTTAAGGCAGTGATCTTCCTAGATTCAAAAGAGAGAAATTTCTTTAAACCTGATGT